CCCACTTCTTATAATAGCGCAATTAACTTCTGCCACTAAAAGTAGTTGAAGATAACTCTGGGAATAGAAGCTAGTGGAAATAGGGTACTCTTTAGTTTTTGTTACTTCATAAAAGCTCATACATGCAATGAGCACAAAGAAAATTGAGTGAACAGGAGAAGACTTGAGGAGGGTTTTTATGTCTCTCCCTAAACTCTTGGAAGGGAAAAACTCCAGTATAACAACTTTGAGCCTGTAGGAGCTTCCATTGCATCTCTGCATATCACATACAGCACTTCATGTAGTCTATTTCACCAGAATTGCCACAGGATTTATCCTTTGATATTCAAAGCATCTTGATTCTCATGTATCTAAGAAGCGCAAACTTCCTCTATTTCCCACCTAATTTCTGCAAAAACCCTGAACTAGAAGGAGATTTTTGTTGTTGTTGTTAAGAATGAAGATAAATCAGTTAAGGATGAAGATAAATCAAAGAAAATAATATAATGGGTATTATTCATTATAAACATTTAAGAAATATTTATTCTAGGCTTTAGCTCAATAAAGCTGGTTCAATTACTACCCTTATAAGAGGAAACAAGGTTCTCTGAAAGGTTGCTTTGCTTATTGTTTGAAAAATGTTTTATAAAAATCTCTGCTTATAAAAAGAAGGAAAAGAGGGCCATTCTCTTAACATCTATTACAGAGTTAAACTAAAACCCATAGCTTGATGTGTGTCTGTGAGAAGGCGAGAACCACATGAATGAAGGATGCACACATGGTGCTTTAACATGAAGCAGGGTATAAAAAATAAAAAACACTATTCATACCATTAGGAATCATATTGAGAAAACCTATAACAACTTAGAAAATTTTCTTTTTTAAAAAATGAACTCTCAAATTCTGAAGCACCAGACAACCATCTCAAAACATTAAATGAAACAATAATTTGCCCCTTTTCACACAAAGGAACCTTCCAATTGGAAAGCGACCACAGCCAGCACAGTAGTGAATACCTGAACCTGCTCACAGCTTGAAACTAATACCCTGTTGGCAATGAACTCAAGCGTGCATCAGATCCACAGAATATCTTAAGGTACATTTGTAAGAAACAAATTTCATCAGGAAGAGGCAACAAAGGTCCAAGTTGGTCAAATTACCCCCTCCAATGAACAGATTCTCAAGTGCAAGCAAGGATTTAAACAGTGAAAACTCAGGTGCCAGCTCCAGCTTTTTAATTTCTCACAGCTAGAAGTGATGCTTCTCGCCATTCCAGATGCTACCTAGAGACCAGTTAAGGACTTCAGTACTTTATAGATTAAGTATCCAGATCCCCATGATTCAATTAGTTTACTGGAATATCATGATGTCCAAGCACTTTTCCCACCTAAGTTCACTTGAGGTGACTTGCTATAGCTGTATGTAAGTTAAGCTATTATCTGTATGTAAGCTACTAGCCCATTACAGGAACAGCACAATTGTTGCAAGCCTGATTTTGCAATTAGCCTAAGGTAAATCTGTGAAGACTATTTCTCAAATGAATGCCTGTATTGAGCCAAGTCTTCCCCAGACCTCATAACATCAAATGATTTTGAAAAGAAAGCCCTTCAGTTCTCCTGGAAGTTAGTGACATCCCTTCAGATGACATCCTTCTTGAGTCTAAAGACACGTTTGAACATGGTTGGAGCACAGCTCTGAGGCACTGATAACAGTCCATTTCCAACATGACAGTCTGGGTTTAAGGCAAGAAGCAGAAGGTATTTTGAAATGGAAGGTCACTAAAATTGACCCAGGAACTGGCTGATTAGATCTTTTAAAAGGCAGGAAACATGAGGAAGAGAACAAAGTATGGGGGGGGGCCCAAAAAGAAGACGGGATAGTTCAACCGCCTGCAAAGATGGCAGCCACTCACACAGCCCTGGTCTCAATCGCTTTATAGTCCCTTCAACTGTGAAAGGTGAGACCAATATGTTAATTCTGACATTACCAAAGCAGCAGCAGACCTGACATACATACTAATTTCTCCAAGTTACATCTTCTGCATGTGATATCCTGCCAGGTCTTTCCAACTCTGGAAATGCCTTACCTTTTTCAAACAGTGTATGAAACCTTTTGTCTTTCTCCCAAGCATCAAGGCCAGTCTGAAGAGGCTGCTGCATGAGCATTTTGCAGACATCCTCATATGGGAAAGGTGAAGAGTTGCAGGAATAAAATGCTTTGTTTTAGTAGCAATATTCTTCTGTGGATATTCCTAAAGAAAATGGTTATCAAACGCTTATATGACCTGACTTCTGGCTTTCACAGATGACTGCCCTCAACAAAAAGGGGATAAGAACAGGCTGGGGCATCCGGGGAAATGTTTTGTATCCTAAGATTATTCCTGTCCAGTTTGTCTCTGTTTGGATCCTCGTGTATTCCAGCATAATGTTCCTGTTCAAAAACAGCACAGCTGGCCAACAAGCCTCTTGTATTCGGGGAGCAGGGGAGGAAGAACACAAGCTCCATGCTGTTAAGGCATAATGATACCAATTACACCCATGTATATGACCCTGGGAAGCTGGCCACGCTGTTCTGGCACAGCTGGATGATAAGAACGTTTAAGCTGTCTGGCAACGCACGTCTTGCTCTTAGTTGGCAGTGTCCAAGCAGCAGACCCAGCGGCTTTCACATCTCATCAGCAGGGAAGATAAACAGGCTGTGAAAATCCACAAGCTACAGGATGGAAAGGATCATTTAGGTGGCACTTCCAATGCCAAGTCACTAGAGATGGCCAGGGAATCTGAAAGTGTCTGTCTTTGAAAGCAGCTCTGAGACAGATTTAGCTGAGGAAAAGACACATCTGGTTCGTTTTAACATTTCCTTCACTGCTTTTCCAGAATTTTGTATGTGCTTCCCTTAACTCATCCTGTTCCTTTGTCTTTTTTTTTGGAGGGAGAGGGGGGTGGCAAGGGTGGGGTAATGGGTAGAAAGATAGTTTGCAGCTAAGCAGATCACTGTATTCTACTGTTAGATCTTTCCTTAAAGCATCCAACACACGAGAGCCAACTCCCAAGGGGAGCTCTGGGACATTTCCAAATAGACGTGTGTGTGCATGGGTGTGGATGTTCATACTGACAATAGCCTTAGGAGAGTGAGAAGAGAGGAAACATAAGAGGAAACTTAGAAGTATTTAGACTATAGTAAAACAGATTTTATCTAGATTTAAGTAAATCCTTTATTCAAGAATGCCACAGATCCATCATCTTTTTTATTTTCCCTGTTTTCTCTGACTTCTTCCCTACTCTCCCTCTAGTGTTCTTCAGCGTGCATTTGCATTTATTCACCCCTGCTCTGTTCAATGAGTATTTCACACAATATTAAGTTGTTCATTTTGCTTTGACTTTCCCTAACCCCAGGGAGAATTACTGAAAGCTAGACTAACTTTTCTGAATGTTTTTCTCCATACAGTGATCCAAGAAATACAGACTAACAGAGGTGAAAGAGAGTAAAGTGTGAAATTAATTCTGAAACAACATTTTGAACGATGGTGGTATGGGAGGGGAGGTCTTGCTGCTATGAAAACGAGGCAAAAGGTGCACAATTTGCAATGTCTCTTTTAACCTCAGATTCAGAAGCCAAGGACAAGAATGAGAATCACACGAAGACAACACTTAGATCTCTCCCTGCTACTCTTTCTAGGAGAAAGGTGGACTCCCCTCAGCACACACAGATGCACACCAACTGCTTCAGGCATATAAGAGAATGAGAACTATATTTTCCACTTTGCCTTGCTATTTCATGAGATGCCCTGAAGAGACAGTGAAAAGAGGTAGTTACTGTTCTTCTCCCTTTTATGTTTCAATAACAGAAAGAACAAAGAGCAGACTAGCTTAAGATATTCTTAGGAGAAAACACAACAAAACAAAAACAACAACAACAAAAACAGTAAGTCCCCTTCAAGCCAATATTTCCAAGCAAATTTTTGTTTCTTCTTGGTAAGTGCAGTTTTAGCATTTACTTTGCATATTTACATTTACCCAGGCCCCAAACTGACGAACAGAAAGAAACATTCTAGGAAACATGAAACTGAAGTAAAACTGTATTCTCAATAGTTTTTTTCTAGAATATTTTTTGTGTTGATTTAAAACAAAACTTCCTAGAAGTATTACAGCCTTTCAAAACTGGAAAAAAAAAATAAAAAAAAAAAAGAAAGTTAAATTGGTGAGTTCTCCTACCTTGCCTCATTTTCATGAAGGTATACCGTTAATATGAAAACAAACAACTTTGCCACTAGTGATTTGTGATCTATTCACCAAATTAAATATTTAGCATCATTTGTTTTAAATGACAGATATTGCTCCATGGTCTAGTTCTATGGATAATATATAAAACAAAATACTGTAATCAGATAACAAGAATAATAGATAAAAAAAAAATTCAGAACCACCAAACAAAATCAGCAATCTTTATCTGCAACATTGCAGGTATTCTCAGCAACTGCAGAAGAGATAATTCTGCATCAACTCTCACATTTTGCAGATGTCAACTTAAAAATGGACATTAATGACATGTTATTTCATTAACAGATCACCAACTCAACCATACAAAATGCAGAGTCTTCTCTCTATTCACACTAAGACATCATAGTTGTCACCTAGCTTTTATATACTAAAGATATTGATCAGTGTCAACCTTTGGTTTCATACTGACAGTTTCATTGATACGTTTTAAACTATTTAGAAAAAAAATACTCAGCCTAATTAATTTCTGTCTACTGTCCATTTTTGATAAAGATGCACACTTGGAAGTCAAATTCAAAAATTATGATATTAGTCATGTTTGTCTTATTAATTGGTATGCTTTTTACTCTCAGTCATCTTGAATTATTTACTTCTAACATATAGATATCAACTCCCAAATTCCACATTACAGTGATTCAAATCAGAAACACACTTAGTGCTGTTAACACAACAACAGTTCCAGTGGTGCTTCCCCATTACATGCAGTAAGCCTGTATTAATTGCTTTCTCATGCAGACTTACAGTGCTGTCAATATAGGCTTCAGTCCACACTACATCGTGCTCTTGGTCAATAACCTTTGGGCGGCTCAGAACATGGAGGTATTCCATGACATTCTCTTGAACATCAGCTAAGGTTGAGATCTGAGTAAAAAACCCTGTGAAAACATATAACACAATAAATGAAGGAAGATGGTAACAAGGAGTATAACTATAACCTGTGCCAATATATATATATATATATATATATGTGTATATATATATATAACTTGTTTACTTCCATAGAAATGTGAAGAGAGAACATCTGATGAGGAGCAGCCTCAAACGCTACTAGCTGGTGAAAGCAGAAGTCTGAAGTTGTGGCAGTCTTGAAGGACTGAGTTCCCAAGACTGCTAAAGACAACAGCACTGCCACTTCCTGAAACTTTCCAAGTTTAATGGTAAAAGAGTAGTTTGGAGATGTTTTTAATTTTTTAAAAAAAGGTCTGGAATTAAATCTGTATAAAGTCTCATTCAGAGTATGTCCCATTTCAAGAAACATTCCAGATTTGAACTACAGTAACGAAGCATCAGAACAGTATCAGAATATGCTCTTGTAGGACATGACTAAACCTCAGATAACAGCAACATGTTACCCACAAATGACAGGTCACTGAGGCTGGAGACTGCATGTGGAATTGCCTAGCTAGGCAACCACAACTTTGGTAACTCCTTTAAAGCATATCTCCTGCAACCTGACAGCAGTGAGAATGGGAAAGGCCAGAAAGGCCATTTGAGCTGTCACCACTTCTTCTGCAGTGCTCAAATGTCAAGTGTCTTTATACATCGCAACCCATGTCATGCAAGGTAAGGACTGACACATTGCAAGGCAATATCAGGCCTTATTTAAATGCATCATTTTCTCATCATGTGCATTCTTCTTCTTCAACAAGACCAATGTGCAATTTTCATGAAATAAATTTTCCTACAGTTTCTAATTTTTTGACATGATCACATCACCTGCAGGATTGGCATACATGCAAGGAACAGGCTGCTCTCTGCTTCAGGTAATGCACCAAAACAGAAAGCAAGCGGTGGCAACACAGTCCCTGTAATCCTTCACATTTGGAAGGCAGGGGAAAGCTACTCTGCTGTCCTAAAAGAAGGATGGACAGTATTCGATAAATGAATGTTGAAATTCTATTACAGAAGGAGTTTCATTTATTTAAAATTTTATTTATTCAGTCCAGTATTGTGTGAGCAGGTTAACTTACTAGTACAAATAATATGGAATAACCTCTCACTTCCTAAGAGTATTTTTTGTCTGTGTTTTTAAAAGCTTTTTTTTTAACTGTAGCATAAAATGATTGAGAAAAGTTTGATTGGAAAACCTACACTTGAGAAAGTTGTATTTTGTGTAGATGGTGAAAAGAAAGAAAATGATAATGTGCTCTCATGAATTATTGGCTTAGAAGGCTTCTGGGAAAAAAAAAAAAAACAAGCAATATATACATTAGTCTTTCTGAAATGCTTCCTGCTCCAGTTTTGTGACTGCTGGGTATCCCAAATCAAAATGTGGGTTTTCCCATCCTGTGGGGACTAAAAGATAGTTCAACTATGTGATCCTTTTCATTTGGTGCAAATGGCAGCTCAGAGTCAAAACACAATTATTTGCCAAAATGCACTTTCATTTACACATTGTGGTTTACAGTGCTTTTCATCAAATATTTGGAATATCACTTTCATTTTTCAGGAGGTGACAGCCATTCAGAGCACCTGAAACTTGTGATGTCTTATTAGAAAGAGCTTAAAAAGGAACCAATATTCAGAGGCAATGTGTTCAGCACTGTCCACGTCTTTCAAATTACACAGTCAAAAACAAAACCAAAATGTTTTAATTGCCCTTAAGGAGCAAGCTTAGGAAGAGCCTTGTTTCGGTGTTTCCTACGCAATCGTAAATCATTTCCTTACTTGCATTTTATTTGTTCTGTTGAGCTCAGCCACATTTCAGCACACATCATGCCTGTGCTTACTCTTCTCTTACGGCAATGTGCAAATTATACTTGGAGCTCAGATGCTGCCAGCACTAAGTGCTATGCAGAGAGCACAGGCACAACCCCCGCACTTTAACACTTTTAATATATCCATATGAGATTATTACATAATGGCTAAAATTCAGAACAGGTTAACTGCTAAAATGTATCGAACCTAAGGTAATGGAGAGGTCGTTTTTATAGTAGTTTCTTACCAAATAGGTTGAAATCATGCTTATTTAACACTTACCAATGTCATGCCTCAATTAAAATCAAAAGTTTAAAGATTCATTTAAGAAGCTCTTGGATGTCTATACTGAGAGAATTTTTCTATCACAGCCTATACACTACTTTTGAGATAGAAAATACTTTGCTGTAAATTGAGGATAAACTCTGATTGCTTCCTGTCAGCCTTTCAAGTGAAAATACTTCACTTGATTACTCAAGGAAAAAGAAAAAAAAAAAAAACAGAAAATAAACAAGAAAAAGTGATATAGGAAAGAGAGACACAATCTGAAACAATTCAATGTTCATGCCACACAGGACGGGTAATACCTGTTCATACCACACAGGTATTTACGAAATACCGGTAATGGCAAATATTTTTCTGTTATTTTTCATTTAAAAGACATCCATTTGGACCAAGTAAATCCAACATCAGCAGAGACAACTACATGAGCAGGTTATTTGTAACTACTTTCCATATGAATGTGCATTACTTTGGGTATTTCTCTTGGTAGGATTTTTAAAATGCATACTGTCATCTCTCACACAACAACCTACACAGTACCACAGAACTCTCCAGATACCATATTTCATGCAAAAATTTCCCTTCTGGTTGTAATACTTGGTGATATTGCAAACCGTATTCCTAAATACTGCAATAGAGCAAATAATTTTTAGCCTGGTTTTTGAAGACTAAAAGAGACTGATTAGCCTGTTTGTTTTCTTTGAATTTCTCTCAAAGAGTTTCTCTGAGTCCAGACAAACTTAGTAAGAAGGCAGAGGCCTGAGAGAGCCAAATTCTGCGAAAATTGTTGACCCCCAGACTGGAAGAAGTGACAATGAGAATCCCATTTGCAAGGCACCACAGGGTTAATTCGGCATACACGCATGTGCTTCCAGGCTGGTATGCATGGATGGAAAACTGTAAGAAATGAAGTATTAGAGAGTTTAAATTTTGTAATCAGGTAGTTTCAATTTACTGAGTTTACTAGTTAAAAGTAACTTTTGCAAAACTTAAATGAGGGTGGTGTCACAAGGCACAAGCATGCGCATTCACTTGGCCTTTTTTATAATGTATTCTCAGAGATGGGTTTGATTTGTAATTTGTGGGGGTAGTTTCTTGCATTAATGATGTCTGTTTAATCCCATATGAGAAAGTTTATAGTGACTTTATCATTTCTATGACTCATAATTAACATGAGCAATTAGCTCTCTCCTGTGAATTTAGGGCTCATCTCTCCTAAAGAATACTGATTTATTTAATTTGCTTCTATAAAAAGTCAGGGTATTGTAACAGCACCCGGTGACATGCTCGTGGTTCACTGCACTGCACACTTGGACTATTTGATGATTCCTGTGCTTGTAGCTATGTGCAGCAAATGTCAAACCTCACAGGAATTAGCTTCCCACAGTGTTAACCCAAACTCTCTGACACACCGGTCAGAGGTGCCCCTTTGATTTCAACATCTTACTCTTCACGTATCCACGTTGAATCATCAGAGAAAGGCCCGTGCTGCTTTCTCTCCCCAAAGCAGGAAGAATTTGTGAAGGAAACAGATAAGATTGGGTAACACCAAGTGTAAGATACCTATAGTAAACAGTCGAACATCACTTGTTTTTCTGTCAAGGTCGCCCATGTGACCCCTCAAAATGGCTCCGCTAGATTTCTAAGCAGAGCACAGGGACCTCATGTTTTCCGGACACTGCGCAAAATGGCTGCAGCATTCTCACAACTAATAAAACCCCAGCATTAAAGGAATCCTCCTTGGGCAGGGACGACGGAGGGGGGATTCATTGTTTCCCTGCAGCTGTAGAGCTCCCGTGGAGAATAGGCTGTGCCGGAGAGGCGTCCGGCGCAGGTGAGCGGTATCCGCACCTGGCCGGCTGCCATCCCCGCCAGAGCCTGCGGCACGGGGACCGCGGGGGTCGGCTGCTAAAGGGAGGGATGTGACTGCGGCTTCCTGCCTGCGGCTCCTCAGCACTAGTGCAGCGGGCTCTGAGCCGCGGCAGCTGGGGCACGGCCTGCGCGGGGCAGCCGGAGCCTCACGGAGCCCTCCACGCTCCCCTCGGCTCCGCCACCGCCGTGAATCCCGGCCTTGTCCGCCCCGCAACGCGCCAGCCGCACCGCTGCCGTGCAGCTAACGAGAACCAACGCGCATCCGTGAGGGAGGCTAAGGAGAACCAACGCGCATCCGCGAGGGAGGCTGTCCGAGCACAGCCAAGACCGGAGCCGAAAAACATACACGTGTTCCATACTGGCTGTTTTCTGCGGAACTACAGCACTAACAGCCTCTGTTTTTACAACTTCATGATGGAAGCAACCTCTGAGGCAAAGACAGTGCCTGCTTACTTCAAATCTGGCACTGTGAGCACTAGGAAATTTTTGCCTTTGTTCGTCTGAGGATCTTAGTGAATCTTTTCCCCTTCATGCGCGCTTGCTTATGATAGAGAAGAGTAAATCACTGCAAATTTCACAACCCACTCTAGAGGGACTCAAGGACTCTTTCACATTTTAATGTATTTAAAATGGTTTGCTGCTTTGCTTCATTAAGCCCAGCTCCCTCTAGATATGCCCTACTTACACACAAAAAATGCAACAGAAACATGCTTGGGGGAGTTTCATGGCTTCACCGTTTGAATCCAAAAACGAAAGGAGCATTGCAAGGTGGTATGGATTTCCCCTGTGACCCATTCTGAAGGAAAGGGCTGCTGTCCACCATCCAGCCAGCTGGAAACCCTGCAAACAGCCTTCATCTATGCTGTGCTTCCAAGGGAAAAACCACTGCAAGGAAAATTGATTTTAGAGCGATTGACCCTCAGTGACAACAACATACTTTGGCCCACCCATACAAGAAGTAAACTGCAGTCCAGTCATACAGCCAGTCTTTAGACAAGCTTCACTACACTGGTCAACTCTCTGTGCTGCAATCCTTCATTTCACTAAAGGACAAGGCTAGGCTGTGGCCAAAATCTGTAACGAAAAGTTCTAAATCCATACTGCCTCCGATGATGACTTATAATGTGTCCAATAAACAAATATTTTCTGATAAACAAATATTACTGATCACAAGTAAAGGATTTCTGCATTATAAAATATCAGAAAGCAAGTATTGCTACTGTTAAGTCAGAAAGAGAATTGTACGGTTGTTAAGCTGTTTAATTAGAATCTTACTTGTGTCTTTCTCATAAGGGTAAGATTCTGGGGGAAAATAAATAAATAAATAAATAAACAGGCCAGTTCTGATTAATTCAAATTACCTGCTGCTAAATCAAATGCACTTCACCACTCTCCTCAGTTCCAGACAGTAGAAATACTATAACTCTTCATTAGAGTTATACAACACCAATGTGATTCTTAAAAGAACAAAGTAGTCCTGAAGAATGACAAAGGTGACCACTGTTCTCCCTCTGGGAATGAGGAAGACGTGGACCAGATGATCTGCTGAGGCAGACTCTGCTGCCTGGTCCTAATTTCTCAGCTGCTGTACTTAGATCTTTATGAATCTGTAGCGCTGGGCTAAAAAGCTAAAAGATTTTGTTGATTAAATTGTCTTCAAAAAGATGCTTCAAAGGATTCTTATACTATTACTAAAACTAAATTATGGTGTAATATTAGCTGATTAAGACAAGACTTCAAACTGAGTAATTTCCATCAGCTGGACACAACAGTAGTTGAGCAATAATGACTAAATGGATAGCACCTGATGCAATTCATCATAATGTAATGTGGCACAAAGGAAACAAAGAAAGAACTCTCTTTTTGTTTTCCCCCCCAAAAAAGGAGTTAAAGGAAAACGTGAAGATTAATCTTTTCTTTTTCCCCAAATCATTCTTATTTACATCAGCCAATCCTTTTACTGTAGCATCTCAGCATCTTATATGTTTTAATGCTCCTTCCTTACAGAGAATAAATCTGTTTTTTCAATTACACTGTCAGTTCCTCAAGGCACAGGATGTCTGATGTTATATACTGTGCCTAACTCAACAGGACTTGTACCCGGTATTCTTAAGAACCAAACGAATTCTGACTGAGTAATAACAACTATAATAGGACAAATAGCTCAAAATTACAACTTGCTCTCTGAACAAAAATTGAAGAACACATGAAAAAGCTTCATGCACATTTTAAGGAAAAGAAAATACATCTTAAACTATCTTTTTTTTTTCTTAGTAAATTTATATGCTGCAGATAAATACCTATTTTCCTTTCCTCTCTAATTAATTGTCAGTGACACTGTATCTGCAGATGTCAAATGTGCAGGAAGACGTGCTCAGTAACAGACTTCTGAAAGCAAAGTTTTCAGCTGAAGGTTAACCAACCTTTGTTAGCACAGGCCATCCACTTCAGGTTATCAGCAAAAGCAGCTTCCCTTCCAATCAGATAGGTAAAAATACGAACCTGAAAGCAGAATGCAAGGGATCAAGTCAATTAATATCACAGTCCATGCAGGGTGGAACTTCAATGCCGCTGTGCCATTCACAGGGATAGACCCTCTCTCAGAAGTGTGCCTGGTTAAATAGCATAGAAGGTCTTTTCCAGCCTAAATGATCCAGCAGTGTTTTACACAACAGGCTCAAAATTTGATTCATTTTATAACAGATATCACTGCTTCTACGTTTTGTGCAGTCTGAAAGTAAAATAGATCAAGTTCATGAATGGAAGTTGATATTTGTAGCTGAATTATGAATTACATACTGCAATAGAAATTCCAGCCAAACCCTACACACATCCCCTTATCTTTTTTACCAGTATTATTAATAGAACTGCCATTTTCCAAACTTTCCTATAGGTACTCAATCATAATCCTTAAAATGCTATACAAAATAAAAAGTGTTCCAGAACAATTTATTCGATTACAAATTTGATATCAGATTTACAAAGCAGACACAAATAAAATCTACAGAAAACTAATTAAACTCAAAGTAATGTCAAGACGTGAGAAATTTGTAAACTTCTCTAATCTGAATGATTTAAATTTTAAAAAATCCAAGAATTCAACTTTTTTTTTTTTTTTCAATTAGCAACTCCCTCTCATTTGCAAAGATGGGAAATATGATTTGTGGAATATCACAGCTTTATATTAAGCTCACTTTTTGTTTTTTTTTTTTAAACATTTTTTTAAAAGTTTTCAGAGAATTTTTCTCTCCTCTCAATTGCAATGCTATATGCTATGCCATATTCATCATTTTCCTTTTGGCTAATTTCCTAATGGCCAGATCCTGTTTTTAGGCATCCATGCTATCTTGCATTATCATTATGCTTAGCAACAGTATCTACAGCTCAAAATGTTGCCCTCCTTTCAGATATAAACTGTACATGGAAAGCAATTACGATTTATATCGTGTAGAAGGTATACACACAGATTGCTTAGCACTGTTGATTAGCTTGAATCAGTTACCATGGAAAACCCTATTCTAATATTCTACAGAACACCACATCAAAAAAAGAGGTTCTTCCATGCTTTGTTGATGGCTACCAAAAGCCTTAATAAACAAAATCTTTATTCTCTAAGCAGAAGTGAAAGGGCACAGTGAAATTTATACCCTCGAAATACAACATAAATCACTGTCACAGTTTATCTTCATGAAAGCAATGCTAGAATATAGCCTATGAAGAGACAGGATCCATCTGAGAGATTTATATCTGATGATCTGCTTTAATCTACAAAGAATCAAACTACAGTGTGTTCCTAATAAAAGGAGACCAATCTTATCTGAAAGAATGAGTGGCAAATATGATAATAGGTTTAGGCAGCAACCAAACTCCATTAAACATACAAATAATAAAATTTCAACGAACGGGTGTCATAGATCATCATGAGGAGTTAACTGTCTGGTACCATTGCAGGGATTTTAATGATTTTTTTCCTAATGTATTTTATACACAGGGTTTATGTTTGCAGTTTCTCTAGAAAATATTTCAACCATCAGCAAAAATGCTGCTAACTGGCTGACACTGCTTGAAATAAAATAAAAATAAAAGCAATACTTTAGAATGTTAGCACTGAAGATGAGGGATCAAACTTTGTTTAATCCTGCTTCTTATTATGTTAAAGAACAGTGTTTTTTTTCCTTCTACAGTCACCATGCATGTTGCCTAAAAGTTGTTTACTAGCTCCACCATGAAGTATAAAAGCAAAAATAATTTATGAAGTAAATATATAAATAAGAGTAGATATTTATCTGCATATATTATCCATCGGTTTAAAGCTATTTTTCCCTGTTTTTCCCTGTGTCTGTTTCACACTCTTGTTGCCTTACCTGTGCACAGGTCATAGCTCAGCTTACATGTTTGGTTTGTTCTCTATTCTTTATTGCATCCCTCCCCACCTCATTTCAAAAAATCAGAGAGTATTGTTAATAAGTTTCTTGCTTTTTCAGCTGGGGAAATTTCTGAAGCTGAACCTTTAAACTCTGGACATGCACCAGGGATGCATAAACTCAACCATCAGTAAGGAAAAATAAAAATGATGATTTAAATGACAGCCATTTCAGTGCTAAGCACTTCATCTGAAATATCCACTTAACAGTTTCATCCATTATGCATGGAGTAATCTGCAGTCCCTGAACTGTCCTCACCTCTAAAACTTCATTCAACGAACAACACGGAGAGGACCAACAGGGACCTCGCTCTATGTCAAGCAGGACAAGTCAATCTGCAAGATTCTACTCACTGGAATTGTGAAGCCCTACCATGATGTCCAACAGCTGGTAAAGCAGTATTTCTGGAAACTTCAGATACTGTATGGAAGGGGAAATATGACTTCTACTTGCAGCTGACAGGAGAGAATTCTGTTTGCAGCTGCAAACTATTTCATGGGCACCTTCAGAAAAATAACCTTTCGTTTCTGGCTCACCAAGAAATAACAACAGTCTTGCTGCAAGACCTGTTGAATTTAAGTTAAAAGTAGGATATAAGGATAAAATCCAAGCTTTTCTTGGTGGATCAGGAACTGCCAAGCTATTCTCATATAAGGATAAAATCCAAGCTTTTCTTTTGCAGCTAATCTGTGCATAGGTCACCAAATGGACTGATTTGAGCCAATGAACCAATGTGAGACTAGGCAACTGACTGAACATCTAGGCAGCCTCACCATGAAGAGCTGCCTTAACTGACATGCTTCTCCAAGTAGAAGTTTTAGGCAGTTCTGGAGATTCTCCCAAGAAACTTTTGCTGTGTCTAGACCATCTGATAGACATTGTTTGTATACTGCAGTGTGTTGGATTGGCAACCTGGGTGGAGAATCCGGCCACCCCATCCATTCCTCCAAGGAATTCCTCCTGTCAAATTTACCAAACTATATACACAGCTAAGACACTTTTAAATAGTAGAAAGTGGCAGGAACAGTCATGTAGGACAGTCTTTTGAACACCTCTTTAAGATAGAAGATGATTTGTATGTAATTTAAGATAATCAAATGCAATGAATGCATGTACTGGGATGGTCAAATACAGCACAGGCCAGCTGGAAATAACAGTTCACTGGAAAAAGTTAGGGGATTTCCCCCTAACTCAGATGAAAATACCATTACAAGGACCCTGCAACAGAGACTCATTTCGTCGTCTGCACAGCAACTGAGCACCCTATTCACAAAGTCTGATTCTGCACAGGAGCATTAATCCTACACAAAGATCCCAATACTTTGTTTAACACGTTGTGCAACAGACTCAGTGGTGGACCAGGCAATATTTTCATTTGATCAACAGCTAAGAAAATTACATTAGGATCAAATGAGATCACAGCTGGTCTAGATATGATACTGAAGTTGAAGTTCAAGATTCGCAAAAGCTATTCTCTAATTGCCTAAATTTTGTGAACAGAAAAACGAAAAAGGCTGCCATTAACATACTTGCAAATAGAAGTTTGAGAGAGGAAAAAAAAAAAAGAAAGCATATTTGTCACCTGAAAAGTGAAAATAAACATCCAGGAAAAAGCTCATTTTTATATGGACACCTCTTTTCCTACTCTGCTTTCCTACTCCTGTAAATACAACCCCCCAAACTACATTCTCAGTCTATTACAAGCAAAAAAAACCAAGTTCTTGCTCACTCCTTTTGAACATGTTTAAGAGCAAATGAGAAAAATGCATTGAAGAGTAACAAAGATTAAAGTCAAAAGAATAGATATATTGGCTATATTTGCATTGATAAATTATCAGGAAATAATACAAAATTCTAATGCCGAGGGTCACGAAGCGCTGTGATACAATCTGTGCAAGATAACATTTCCACGGGATCTTCAGCCCATCATAGACCTTTTCCGTCTGAGGTGCTGAAAGCCTGAGCTTGTGCTGCAGTCAGCAGGAGGAAGCCCTTATCTCATGAGACTGAATCCTTACACTTCAAATCAGTCAGCATTCAGGGTTCAAGGTTCTGCATTATTACGTTATTTTTCCTTCAATATCAAAAATGTCCCTTTTGGAGAAATCTGCATTTATACATTTCTTTACATTTTCAGCCATCCTGCAATTACACACGGTATTCAGACAACAATTTCATAGCCATGTTTTCTGTCTTCTTGATACCCCAAATGCTCTATAAACTGCTGGGACAGTTCAACAGAAACAAACCCCAAATAATTAATAGGTCTATTTAGCTGGAAAACAAGATGCTGTAAGCAAAACCAGCAACAAAACAGAGCACTTCCTGGGCCTGGGGATCATCAAGCAGCTGAGTTCTGCTTTCCCAAACATCCGCCTCTCCCCAGCAGCTCTGTGCACGGCTCTACCTCGGCACGATGTGCAGCGCGAGAGGAAACGGACGCTGCAGCTAATCCCCGGCGTGCGGGAGGCTGCGCTGCTGGGGCGCACGTGCTCGCGAGGAGCCTCTCTGCGTTGGGACGACACAACTGCTGAGCCGCTTCCAGAAAACTCAAACAAACCCCAGGTCGAACACGAGGGGTTCTCTCGGGGGTGTGTGGGAGGAGGCGTTTTTTACGCTCTAAACAGAACATTTACATGGAAAAATTACAGAAAGTTTCAACAACCTGTAGCACTGAGTAAGACTGCTGACCTTTTGTGGATTCACAGAAAAGCACAAGGCAACTAGATTTATGAAGTATAATTTCTCACTGTCAGAATCCCCCCCTATGTTTGAAGACAATCTTGGCACCACATTATGAGATTATGCTGTAATTTTACACTGGGCAAGGGTATATCTGATGATCAGAAAATGACCAAAACTGTATTAGCACAGGCTTATCACTTCTAAAAGTTTGATGCTTGATATGGTTTTGAAAGGTACAAGACACCTGAGCCTTTTTATATGGGACACTAGATCTAGCTGTGTTATACACCTTAAGCTACTGGTCTTGCAGAACTGGGCAAGATCCCTTCCCCAGCAGGTTGGTCAACTGGCTGCTTTGTATGGCACAGTGAGAGCTTGGTGCTGATGAATTAT